CTTAAAAGTAATTTATACAGGGGAAAGCAAAAAAGGAGAAAAAAATAATAAAAACACAATTATGGGATATAATTGTGTTATTTTTAACAAAGTATCATTCCCAATTTGATAGAACTTTCTCACTTCTCACCACATGCTTCAAAGCAACTAAAATTGCAAACAGAGGGTACAAACTTTCAAAAATACTATAAAAGAAAAAAAGAAAAAAACCCTAAAATATTCCATATGCTTTTACATAAAGCTCATCTTAACAAATGATTGATGCTTTCAATTTATAAGATAATTTAAGTTTTGCTCCATGCCACAATTGTATATGTTATGGCTTTGTGGTAAACTTCCCCAGTTCATAAAAGTAGTAAGTGAATCACACCTATTTACTACTGAGCTCTAAGAATTAAGTGAACACCAAATTCAAGAAACATCTGTCAGGAAATGTAAAACTATATTTACACACACACACACATACACACACTCACATACACACACTCTTGAAAAACCATGACACCCTAAAATGAGAAATTCACACAGGCTTACCTGGTAATTCAGGTAATTCCTACTTAATTCAAGATAAACAGTATTACTATTGCATTATGATACTGCTATTGGTGCATTTACAGAAACACCATTAAAAATAATTAGGGAAATAAATATTTCTAACATTTGACCTAACCAAAGGCTTCCGAAAGTTTACAGTTATATTAATATAATTATATGGACACACACCAAAAAGATATTACTAAATACATCAAGTCTCATGCAATTATTTACATGTGAAAGTTACATTACCAATTTACGCAGTTTGAAAAGAATTAATGAATACAAACATACAATAATTATCAAACTGAAGACACTTTTTTGCTGCATTTAAAACATCAAAGCAAACTTATATTTCTTAATTTACAATTGATAAATGTAAAGTTTACACACTACCTTATTCTGATTCTTAACTAGAATCAGAAGAGAAAGAAAAAGATAACATCTAAAAATCACTAACATCTGAGTGACTGCTGGTTAACACCTTCTTTAGTTGTTGTCTGCCCAACCCATATATAGTTTAAGTTTACATAAGTTATGGGAACATAATTAGACAGTATTAACAATCAATTAATTGCAATTTTTCTTAACCGTGTTTAACAGTTTACAAATTTTAACACCTAAAATATATGTCTTAAAAAAATAAAATAAATGTTTTCAGGGAATCTTACAATGAATAAAAAAGGTTAAAAGGTATAGAAAATATGCAAAATAAATACAGGCCAATCATCACATATTCTTTTCCAAACCTAACAACATAAAAACTTAAAAAAAAAAAAGCAGTAATAACAACTGGTCTAAAGCAAGTCTGAATTGATAGCAATATCAATCTCAGTATTTAAAAAGCTCATATTTATAAAATTGTTCAAGTTAAAACATTTCTACTTCTTTCCATCTAAGCAGACTAGCAGACTAGAAAATGCTTATGCCTAATTTACCCAGGGCTAGTTTTAAGTAACACTAAGACCCAGAATTACACCAAAGATCCCTATTAATGCAGAGGTCCCAATCAACAGGAGATAGACTTATGGTGCTACTACACCAATAATTATTTTTGTTAGCATCCTCTACTGGCGGTTTCCAAAGACAGCAAGTGGAAACGGTGCAAATGACAGAAAAATATGTACCTGCTATTCCATCCAAAGTGAATTAATCAGCATGTGGTCATTAGTAGCTACAGCACATTTCTCTCCCGCCCTCCAAAATGCATACATATGTACATCCGAAAACCACACAGAGTAGCAGTGGGAAATTTCAAGATATATTTTTAAAATACAACAAAGCATTACACTACAAATGGTAAAAATCGATTTTATGCAATTCTAATGCCACTCCTTTATAGATGACTAACATCATCACCATAAAGTTACTATCTAATGTTTGATGCTTTGGCCAAGCCCTGCTCAATTGGTTTACCCCTGTCAAGTTACATTACTGGATTCTCCCACTAATATCCTACTCTGCAGATATATTCCAGAAAGGAAATTAAAATGTTTTACTGGAGGCTTAGCAATAAAATCTATATATCTTATTTTTAAATGAACAAAAAATTACTTACATATAAATAACAACATAAAGTATCTCTATGACTATCGCCCACTGTACATATCATTTATTCCCTCATTAAAAAGATTTAAGAGTTAACATTTTTCATGCAATTCTCTCCAATAAACAACTGCAACTTAAATATGACTGCGTTGCTAAGAAATATTAACCAGCACCTATTCTGAGGTTTCACAACACAATGGCATATAACTTCATTTTTAATTTGCAAATTATAAGGCTTAATCAAATAGCATGGCTGTAATCGTCGGCAATGGATGAAATGCGTTTGAGAACAAAAAGAAATACAAGGACAGAGCCAAAAGTGATGAAAATGGAAGATACCTGTAGTGGTACAGTGCTATCTTAAACACCTTTTGTTTTCTGAGAGTAATGCATACTGCAGACAAGACATTTTGTGCTAAACAGCCCAAATCTGTTTTTCTAATATTAAACACAAAGGAAAAACACTGACAGCAAGCGTGGTAAATAAATCCCTCCCTTGAGAATGAAAGCAGCAGACAGGAGGGGGCTGACATACATGCAGGAGAAAACTAAACACCATCTTTTTTCTACCTGCACAAGTTGCCATTTGCTGCAGCGATCGAGAACCTCTTTTTCCTGTTGATTTCAAGTACCTTTCAGGATAGCTTTTTTCCCCCTCAAGTCATCTGTTGATATGCCTTATGAGTGTAATATTCATATCACAGGATCTTTAGGAGAAAAATCCATTCTTTCCTGTTCAGGTAAACATGTTTACAGCAGCTGCACAGACGCTGGGTGGTTCAGACTCACATGTCACACACATGTCGTCAGCAACAAGAAAAGCCCCTTTCTCTGGCGATGAACATTTTAAATAAGGTAAAAAACGAGCAGCCCTTTCCGAACCAACTTACCTTTCATAAAGCCACATCAGCAACAGTGGCAACAGCTCAATATAGCACACTATTCGACGCTAAAACAGGAAATTAAAATTGCAATAGCCTATGCTCCGCTTCTTGCTGTAACAAGTCATCTCTCCACAATGACGATACCAAATATTAGTTATCAATCATAACTAACAGACGTCTTTAAAACGCAAATGTTTATTTGAATAACTAAAATCATTCATGAAAGCAGTGGTTTTAATAATGTCGGCTCAAATATATTAAAAATATTTTTACGATTGGAAGGAAACATCTTGAAACAGCTTAAAATCTTCGTATCTGCTTCTAGACAGGAAATCCCACACAAAATCTAAAATTGCCAGGAAAGGTTACAAAACCTCGCGTTTCGCATCCCAGAGGGGAGGGAGAAAGGGAGCCCAGGAGCGGGGGTGGGGCGGGGGAGCACGAGAGAGTTTTTACTTAAACACGTATTTCCTCATTTTCTGGAAGAAACAGCAATCCCATTATAGGCGCATTTATTTCCCTACAGTTAAAAAGTCGTTTTAAAAATAACGTAGGAACCAAAACGAGCCCCTCGGTCCGAAATGTACATGTAATTCCTTATATAGACTCGGCTGCAGCCAGCGGCAGGGCCGTTGCCGCCCATTATTATACAAACAGGTACCGGGCCGGCGCGGGCGGGGGACCTCGCCCCGCGCTCCCGCCGCCCCCGGGCGGAGAAGTCTCGCCCCTCTCGCCACAGGAACTGTCCAGACAATAACAATCAGCAGACATTTCGCTGCTGAACAAGAGGGAGAGAAAGCACAGCATTGCCCCCAAGATAAGAGAAATACAATCAACTTACAACGTCTCTCCAAACTGGAAAAGGCGACTGTGCAACAACAACCACATGTTCGGGTCTCGCTCTCTCTTGCTGTCTCTATTATTTTTTTTTTTTTAAACTCTCACGCCAGGCAGAGGGGTGTGTATTGCCCCGGCACATCAGCACAAATCAATAAACACTGCAGCTGCAGCGAGAGCAGCAGACCCGTGCGTCCGTCGGTCCGTCTGCCCCCTCCCCCACCCTCCTTCCACCCGAGACCGAGAGCGCCATCCAAGCTCCATTATCCGGCTTCAGCGCTCCGTGCGTCCGGCCCAGGTAACAACTTCCCCAAAAACCGAAAGAGAAAAATGAGAGGCATACGCACAGAACCCCATCCCAGCGCGGAGAAGGAGTTTCCCCCAGAGAGGGGGATCTGTCTGTGGTGCTTCCCTGTCTCTAAGACCAGGTAACAACTCCACAAACACACCCGCTGCCCAGCTCGCCGCCATCCACAGATCTCCCAAAGCAGCAAGTAGGTGCCCGCTCCTGCCCCGTCTCCCCTGCCGCCCCGCCAGCTCCCCACTGAACGTGGACCTCACTCGCGAGGCTCGCCTCGGAGTCCCCAGCCGGGGGCCCAGGGCGCGGTGGTCGGAGGCGCGGAGGAGGAGGGGTGCTTAGGGACCCGCGCCTCCGCTCCGCTAATCCCCATTCCGCGAGCGCGCCTCGCCGGCCGGTCACAACTTTACCGCCGCCGGCCGAGCCCGGTCCGCCAGCGGCGCGCACCGCCGGCGCCCGCGCACACGCGCGCACGGACGAC